AGGATACCCCGGGGTCCGGGGAAGCGGCTGGCCAGCTCTCACCACGGCCAGGGCTCCCCGTCGGGAGCTGATAAGAAATGAGAGGAAAGCCCCTTCCCCCTCCAGGGAGATATGGCCTTTCCCAAGGGACACCACTCCCCACTCCGGCCAGGGACAATGGGAGCTGGGTCCCTGCGGGGCGACAAGCACGGAGGGTTTGTAGCCAGCCCTGGCAAAGGGGAGGCACTCGCGGTACCTTCAGCCACTCCTCAGCCTGCTCTTTGCTCTGCACGGCCAGCACCAGCGCCTCGGCCCCCGGCAGCGAGAAACGCAGCTCGTGCTTCTTGCGCCGCCCGTCCTTGGGGACGTAGATGACATTGCAGGTGCCCAGGGGCACTTCCACATGTGGCTGCCGGTCTTTGGAGCTTTTGTAGCACTAGGAGAAGCAAAGGGAGCCGTTCTGGGCCCAGCCAACCCTGCCTGTCCTGCCAAGGCAGCAGGCAGACCCGGGTATCCCTTGCAGGTTCCCAAGCACACGGTGCAGATGGAGGTGGCTCAATGTTTGCAGCAGATAGTTGCAAAGGGCTGCAGGACGCCCTCTCCCTTCCCACTGCTGGCCAAACCATGCCCCAAAGAGGGGAACCCTTCATTTGCTTGCAAGGGACGCAAGCTTCTGCTCTGGGATAGTCTCAGTCTTTGGGAAGGTCTTGGTTAGGGTATTGGCATCTTCCTTCAACCTGAATCTGACCTCCCTCCTAGTTCCTGCACTCAGGTTTCTCGCCCCCACCCCTCATGCCCCGCCAGTGCCGGGCTCACCAGCAGTTTGTTGTCCCGTATGATGGTGAGCTGCTTGGCCCATTGTCCGAAACGCTTCTTACGCAACAGGAAAGCGCAAATCCTACAGTCCTTCACCAGGTTCATGGAGGCTTCCTCTGACGGCCACTGATGTGTCAGCTGCTGGCCCTTCCCCTCCTCCTCCTCCTCATCGTACGACTCATAAGAGCTGCTCATCGCATCCGAGTCATTGTCTGGAAGGAAGCACTCACCCAAGTCACCCCCGCAGAGCACCCCAGGGCTGCCTCCCAGGCAAGCTCTTGGGCTACCGGGGTCCCCTCTCCCCACAGGCTCCGGGACAGAGCTCAGACTGCACAGAGGGATGGATGGATTCCATGCCATGCTCTGAAAACAGCAGCATTTTGACCCCAACTGTTTCCATTTCACTCATTTCCCTTCCAAATTACTCATGATGCTTGTGGGCCAAAAGCCAATCCCAGATGCATCTGCCCAAGCCTCTGAGCTGACTGACTTCTTTGCATGCCTCTAACTTTTAAAGCGTGGATTAAACCTTCCACCTGCAATGCAAGATCATGCACTTGCCCTCTGCTCCACACCTCCCAAACAAAGCGTGGAGGAGCACCATGCTGCAGCCAATGTCCCTGCCCAAGGCCCACCTCCTCCATGGCACAGGGAGCTCACGGAGGTCACAGAAGAGCTGGCTGAGAAGGCAGACACTCCCCTTCCTTATGCTGGGAACAGACACAGCACTCATTACATGCTTTCCACGAGGTGAGAAGGAGCCTTGCTTGCGTGCCAAACAATACTCCAAGCTCTTTCCAGGCTGCTGGGCAAAGGGCCTCTGACATGCAAGAGGTCCTCAGAGCCTAAACCTTTCTGGCATTCAGGCAGGAGCTGAAAAGCTGTCATTTGCATACAAAGTCAGTGGCTAGATATGGATACCTTTCCAGAAACTTGTATGTGGAAAACAGCTGTGTACTTATACACCAAAATAAGAGTCAGGCTGCTGAATCCCTGGACACTCTGTCAGTCCCAGCATCATGCTATATGACAGATAGCATCATGGGGTCCTAGAGCAGCCAGGAGGTGGCTGCATGCAGGTATGACTCAGGAGCAACCCAGGAAAGTCCAGCGTCTCCCCTGTCCTCTCTCCCTCTCTACATGGAGGCACTTCAGCATCACAGCCCAGAAACAATCGGCCCTGAACTCTGGACCAGACAAACAAGACCTCCAGGATTTGCTCCTGACTGCTCAGGCTCATGTCACAGGGCTAGACTTTGCTGAAATTCTCCCCTACATGCTGAGAGCACCCAGATGCTTACAGGAGTTTTTTTGCTCCCCGTTCATCCTGGTGACGGGGTAGTTGCTGTCTGCGTCCTCATAATATCCATCTTCGATCGAGTTTGGGGGGCTGGAGCTGTCTGCGGAGGAAGCAGAGGGCAGGTGGGCTACGTGAGGCGGGACACCCCCGGATGGGCTGCATCAAAGCAGTGGGGACCCGCAGCACGGCCAGCGCAAAGGAAGCAGGAGCAGCTGCTGGTTAAAGCAGGAGGGCGAGGGGCAGCAGAGGATTTAATGGATCCACTAGCTACTCTGGCAAAGCCTGGGCACCTCTTCCCGCTCCCCTGGGCCTGGCAGGGGAGTGCACACTGCCCAGACACCCTGCCAAGGTGCCAGGCACTGCCAGGGAGGGTCCACGCACAGGGCCCGGGAGCATGCCATCACCCACCCCTCCGGCCATCTCCCTGCTGGCAGCGCGTCCCCAGCGCCAGGTAACCGGGAAAGGGGCTCCAAGCGGAAACCCCAGCTCCCAGCCCGCAGCTGCCCCACTGGGAAGAGACACTTGGCACGTCAAGACCATCAGTCCTCCCGTGGCTTGATGTCTCCTCATCGCTCCCTTCGCGTCAAGCTGGAGCGGACAGCTCCTTGCAACAACAGTGCGACGGGATGGGGAGGAAGCGGCACAGGAGGGATGTGGGGAGGGAGCAGCAGCATTTCCTTCCCCAGCATGAGCTAACAAGCCTGCTGAGGGCCTCCTTGCTCTCCTAGGCTGGAAGAGGAGACTTGGAGCCCCTCTGGGACACAGGCATCCAGCTCTTGGGGCAGTTCCTCTGCCATCCCGGGAGCGGGACTTACTGCGGGACGTGATGTACTCCGGAGCTTTGCCCGGGCCCAGAGGCAGGGCTTCCTCGTAGTAATCTTCAGGTGGAGGAGTGGTGGGTAATGGTGGAGGAGGGTCCACAGCAACCTACAGCAGACACACCACGGGGGTTAGCCAGGCTATGGAGAGGGTTGCAAGTCACCAAAAGGGTTGCCATCATGGTGAGGGGCAGGAACAGGCCACGTCTGCGTGGCCAGAAAGACAGTTTGTTCCCAGGGGCAAGGGGCAGGCCTGGGATGCCATCCCAGATACAACCACAACGAGCCTTCCGCCAGCAGTGCTGCTGCCTTTTGCCCCCATGCCACTGCCTGCTGCTCCTCAGGCACCAGCAAGGTCCAGCTGGCTGTGGAGCCGTGTCCGGCTGCAGCCTCTCACCTGCTAGGGGCTTTGGCAGCACCCAGCGCAGCTCTTTAAAGGTGCCCCAGCACCCTGCTGCAACCCTACTCTCCAGCCTAGTCCAGGGTCTGAGCCCCAGCCATCACCACCTCCCGCGCTGGTGCCTAGGTTCTCTGAGCAGGTCAGACCTCGCAGGCGGATATCCAGGGACTTACATTTTTTGCTGGCTGGCTCCTTGCAAGCTCCAAGCCAATGCCATCGCTGGCATCCCCATCCTCCTCCTGCATGTCCTGGAGATCCCGCAGGTCACAGTCTGGCCAGGGTAGGGGGAGAGGGTGAAGGGAGCAGTGAAACCCCAGAGTCAGCCTCCCCAGCCAGGCCCTTAGGAGAGCCCCCAAACCATGCTGGCACCTGCAGCCCTTCACCAGGAAGGTGCTAGGAGAGGGGCACAGCTGATAAATGCATCCAGGCTGGGGTGTCTGTGGACTCCCCCGGTGCAACAAAGCACTGCGAGCAGCTACAGAGCAGCAGGAGCAAGCACCCACAGTGACGGTGCCCACCTTGTGCCGGGCATGAGGCCACAGAGATTTCACTCGCTTCCTTCAGAGGCGCCCCAAGAGCTTCAGCTCCCAGCGCGGGAGCCCCGGGGTGAGCATGGCACCCGCCAAGCACTGCACCCCAGGCAGGAGGGGCACAGCACAGGGTGCCACTCCGCGTCAGCCACGCGGCCGATCATACCGAACTCCTCGAAGAGAGACTCCACGAAGCTGGTGCCATTGTTCAGGGACGCCGTGTTCACGTACATGTAGTCCACGTCCTTCCCTGGGGAGGGATGGGGGAAGCTCTCAGCACGGAGGTGGGGCAGATGGCTGGGGCAGCACCAGCATCCCTCCTCCCTGGCAAGTGCTACCCAAGGACGTGGGACAACTCATCCTCATCCAGCCGGATTGCACCAGCTGCTGCGCCACGGGTGACTCCTCTGCATGAGGTGTCTGGGGAGCAGAGGAGCCGCTGGGGAACGTTGCCAACCCCACCCGGGGAGGGAGCTGGGGAGGGCTTTGAAGCTCCCAGGTGCACAACCCTTCCAGGCTTCCCATGGAAAGCCCTGCGCTCAGCAGAAACTGGTAGCAGGAAGACCTCTGTGAACCAGCATTTCCACAGGAAACGTGGAGCAGGCTCAGGCCAGCCATAACAGGGCTGCACACCTCAGCATGCAGCCCCGGGGCCAGGCCCGCTTGCACACGAGCCAGCTGATGTCAGCTCCCGGCCAGCCTGACGCACGCTCGCCGCCAGCGCTCGGCACCTGAGATGGGGACGGGGGCTGCTCCTGGGAGGAGCAGGGGCGGCTGCTACAGGGAGCGGGCAGCAAATAACAGGGGGGAGCAAAATCTCCCGAGGTGGCCGGGAAGGCGTGTGGCAGAGGGCTTCGTCCCCCGTGCCTGCACCTCCCCTCGCTCGCCAGGTGGGAAACGGCTGCAAAGGCGAGGAAGCTCATCCATACCCAGAGGGCTCCCGTAAATCACGGGGACAGAGCCAGTGGAGCGTGCTGGCTCACGTGCGATGCCGGCATCTCTGCTGCTCAAGGGCAGCTGGAGGACTCCCTCCAGCAACGGCACCGCCAGGGAGCCGCGTCCCCGCTGCCGCTGGACAAGAGAAGCGCTACCACGCTCTCCAGAGGGAACGCGGCACCGGCACTGCGCCAGGAGAGCAACCCCTGTTCGTTCCCATCACCTCCACCTCGCTGTCCCCCTATGCTCTAGCTCTGTTCAAATCCCACCGCAAACTACTCCAGAAGGAGCCCTTCCTCCTGCTGCGGCGAGGTTCCTGCGGGGCCAGGCCAGCTTCCTGGGACACCACGGCAAGAGCAGGCGTGGGCATCAGGCCTCCTTGGCTGAATAAGCTTTTCCCTTGCCCTGCTGTGGCTTTTTTGGCCAGGCTCTTCTGCCCAGGCCTTTGTCCCAGCTGGGCGGGTGTGACGCAGAGCTGCCACGCTGGGGACACGCACCACCCCTGGGGCCGGCCGCCAGGCCCCGGGGCACAGCGAGAGCGGGACGCACTGACCTGGGGGCGGCTGCAGCTTCTGCAGGATGGTGGAGACGGCCAGCTTCTTCTCCTGTGTTGTGGAGCTCAGGTACTCATGGTCCAGCAGTTTGAGCAAGACGCTGAGCTCGGGGAGGAGCTGGTCCAGCACTGGGGGAAGCAGGGAAAAGCCTGTCAGCCAGGAAGGCGTTGCAGCCCTGGGCTTCTCCCCACAGCCCCACTGCGCAAGGGGAAAGGGCCCAAGAAGCAAAGCAAAACAAGGCGCAGGGGCGCCTGTATTTCAGAAGCAAGAAGACGCAACTCAGTACACAACCCAGACCCCTCCAGCCTTCCCTGGGGCACACAGAGGTACCCCAGCCTCCCTGCTGCAGCAGGGTTATTAACAGAGGCAGCCGTAGCAGGAAGGGGATGGAGGAAGCCAGAGACACTTTCCAAGCCAACCCAGAGGCCTGGCACATTTTGATCTACCTCCTGGCTCCAAACTGAGACAAAATCAGAGATTTCACTATGCTGTCCCTGGAGTGGGTTTCCTCCCCTTTTCACACCCAGGTGTGCAACGCACAGAGTGCCAGGGGCATTGCCAGAGATGCTAAAATAAATAAGCAAAAGAGTACGTTCGGATTAAGACTACGCAGAGCAGGTGCTCAACGGGGGCTGCAACAGGGGAAGACCACCTGAGAGCTGCCCCAGAGGGGCTGCTGCCAACCCGCCCCAGCACGCCTCCGGCGGTGTCTGCTAAGCGCACGCACACTCCTCCCCC